ACATGATGGAACATGTCCTTCCCTGAAGGACGCGTTGATGATATCCGTAAGGAATCTCATCAATGCATCCCCCCTCCCTGGATGGCCAGCCATGATGGGCAAGGGTCGAGAGGGCAAGTTGTCTTCCTCACCTTACCAAGCAGCTTGTCCATGTCCTCGGTACTCACAGATTGCCACTGATCAAGTATAATTACATCGACGGAGTCCACCTCGCCTATAGACTCTGTGCCAATAGTGGCATCTAAGTTGGCTCTGATCTGAGAGATTTTATCTGCAAAGAAGTTGTTAAACGCGTCATAGCAGGCCGTCGTCGGGTTAAGCAAGGGATTTGGTGCAGGGGGCACCTGCGTCATCTCCCTCACCACCTTAAACAGTTCTGCTGGATGGGACTCTGCAGACGCAATACGTGCAGAGGAGAAGGCTCTCTTCGCTGCACGTATTGCCTCCCGATAGGACCAAAGAAAGTTCCTATGGCGAGTTCTGTCAGATCGGAGTCAAGTTTTCCGCCACGTGCGCTCTAGTCGTTGTCCAAATCGCTTCATTTTCCTAAGCTCAGAGGTATACCAAAGCTTACCATTTGAAGTGAAGTGGCAAGGATGCTTGGGAGCGATCGTGTCTATAGCTCTGGTAAGATCGATATTCCATGTATTAACCAGGGCTTCGACAGGATCACTGGCATTCCCAACCATTAAGCCCTCCAAGGCTTTCTGGAATCTGGTGGGCTCCATTAGCCTTCGAGGGTGGACCATTCAAATAGGTCCACCCCCAGGGGGGCAGATATTGGCTCTGAGTTTCGTCTTGACCGGGAAATGATCCGTCCATGACAGCGCGGAGGTGCCAACCACCTCCGCCCACGGATATGCCAGTTCTGTACAGAACACTGCATCAAGTGTATGACCTGCACAATGCGTAGGCCCGTTGACCAACTGGGATAGGCCCATGTTTGTCATGGTATCCATGAACTCCCGAGCCGCACCTGTTAAACTGGTCTCCAGCGGAAGTCCCCCAGAACTAAAAGACTGGGAGTCTCCAACAACAGCTCAGAGACCAGTTGTGTCAGCTCAGTCAGGGAGTCTGCTAGACAACGGGGTGGCCGGTAGACTAGCAGAATTCCCTAAACTATCCCTGGCCTTCAGGCTAAGGTACATGCACTCGATGTGGGTCGTGTATCGGACAGGTATCCTGGTCAAGGTCAAGGTGTTCTTATAAACCAGAGCCACTCCACCCCCCCGCCCACTTCCCCTCACCTGCTCACTGACAGAGTACCTAGCTAGGAGGGCTTGCGCCCATATAGCAGTGCTATCCTCCCCCAGCCAGGTCTCTGTGAAGCAAGCCAGGTCGGCATCTTCATCCAGAAGATCCTGGATGATATGGGTTTTATTCTTCACCGACCTGGCCTTGCAAAGGAGCAGAGTGAGGTTCTGTGGAATGGCTGGTCTGCTCTCCAAACCATCCCGGAAAAAGAAGGAACTGAAGGCGGGATAGCTATTAAACAGCGATCCCGCCTTCT